ATAGTGAATGATTTGCTTTATTAATTCTATTGTAATGGAATCCGTAATTCGGGTTCCAGATCCTCACATGTTGCTGTTGCGACAGTGATTCCCTTAATCCTAACGTTAGCCAGGGATCTCTTATAGAAAGCTGCCTCGGGGGAGTATTGCGTAAGAAACTTTGGCTTGACTGGTTCTGTGCGTTCGTGTATCCCCCTGATCAGTTGTACGTTCTGCCTGCGTCTAGTCGCCCCAGTCTGTCCTGGGACAGGTGTTAGTTTGTGTCTTCCCAGCAGGTAATTGTGTCTTGTTTGAGAACTAGTTCTCTGCTTGTCTGGTCCCGTTCCATCTCTCTCAGTCAGCTGTTATATAAGTCGGTGACTCATATCTATGGGAGCTGCTTCGTGTCGTGGCTATATATCGTTTAGCGACTCGTTCGGGGCCTTCCCGACTCTGGCCTCCTCGGGGGCAGGACAAGCCGCATCTACCCAAGCCCTCAGAAAAGGAAAAGAAGTTACGTGAAGTTGATTAGATGCAGAGGGGAAAAGGAAAGGAGGGCAGGGGCAGGAGGGGGGGGAGAGGGGTCAGGAGTAGGGGTGGGGGAGACATGATGGATAGCACGTGTCGGGGTGCGCCGGGTCCTCTCAGACCCCCGGTGTTATGGTGCGTGCTGTGCCTCCCTAGTTCCGGGACGTGAGAGGTGTAGATACCATGGGGTCCAGATATCGACGTGTTTGGTGCTTCTTCCTATTAGTTCTGCGTACCGCGCCTCAGCAGTGTGTATTTCCTCAACTCTCTGTAGCCACTCCGTGACGGTCGGTGGTTGGGTCTGTTTCCATTTGACAGGTATAGCTGCTTTCGCTGCGTTAAGCAGGTGCCGTAATATTGATCTCTTGTATTGGGCTATCGAGCCTTCTGTGTAATGCAGTAGGGCCATTTCTATGCTAAGGTCCGGCAGATCTCCTAGAATTATCCTCATTTCCCTTTTTACGTCCTTTCAATATGGCTTGATTAGCGTGCAATCCCACCAGATGTGCCGTATTGAGCCTGTTTGGGACTCACACCTCCAACATGTATCTGAGGTTCCTCTGAAAATTCTGTGTAGTAAAGATGGGGTCCTATACCAGTGAGAGATTAGTTTAAAGTTAACCTCTTGATATCTGGTGCTTATGGAGCTCTTGTGTTGCAGGATTAATATCTGTTCCCATTGTGCCTCAGTGTACGCCCTAGCTGTCAGCTCTTCCCATTGCCTCTTAAACGCATTTTTCCGTGTGAGGTCTCCTGTTATCAATTGTTGGTAGATGAGCGATACCCTACCATCCGCGCCAGTGTTGGCCACGCAGATGTTTTCGAACCAAGTCTGTTCTCTGTGAATCGCTGCCCTGTTGGGGAGGTTGAAGTAGAAATGCCGTAATTGTGTGTATCGAAATCTGTGCATCAGCGTCTGTTGTGTCATCGTGTTCCATTCTCGCAGGTTTCGCAGTCCGGTATTGCTCAGGACCTCTGACATAGGGATATACTCTCCTTCTCCCTCAATCGGCCAAGCAGATCGGTGTAGCCCCCCGCCTATCGCAGTATTGTGTGTTATCGGAATCAATGGGCTTGGTTGTGGGGAGAGATGTTGGTTCCGCCTCAAGGATGACCATGTCTTCAGCGTTTGTACAATGGGTGATGAATTGCCTAGTTTTGTTGCTGCATCTGCCGAGCTGTGCCATGTATACATGTGAAGGGCTTTGTTTGTACTTTCTCTATCCAATGCGGCCCACAGTTTGTTTTCAGACGCTACGTGCCAGTCCCTAATCCGTTGTAATACCGCGGCCTGGAAGTATTTGCGTATATCGGGTAACGCTAGTCCGCCCCAGTTCTTTGGTAGGCATAGCTTGTCGTAGCTGAGTCTTGCTCTCTCTCCTTTCCAGACATATTTTATTACTGCCGATTTAAGAGTTGCGAAGAATTCTGATGGTATGTGCCAAGGAATGGTGTTAAAGTAGTAAAGCAGCCGTGGTAGGATATTCATTTTAATCACCGCTATGCGTCCTTGCCAGGATATATGGTCATAATTCCAGTTTTTTAGGTCGAGCAGGATTGTTCGCAGGAGGGGTACGTAGTTCCTGGTATATAGCTCTTTCGGATTGTTGGGTATCCAGATTCCCAGGTATCGCATCTGTTCTGAGCACCAGTGAAAGGGATACTCGCGTGCGATCCGCTCTTGCACTGTCGTTGGGGTCTGTATGTTCAGCAGTTCGCATTTAGTTTGATTAAGCTTCAGACCTGATACCTGGCCATATATGTCGAATTCCTGCATCAAGATCGGCATGGAGTCGACCGGGTTGTCCACGAAGAAAAGCATATCATCAGCATATGCGGCCACCTTGTGCTCCTGGTCTCCGTGTTTAAACCCTCGAATCTCTGGGGTTTGCCGTATCCTGTCCAAAAATGGTTCCAATGAGAGGGCAAATAAAAGCGGCGACAATGGGCAGCCCTGTCGGGTTCCGTTGTGGATGGGAAAGGTGTCTGTGAGCGCACCATTCACCCTCACTCTGGCACTAGGGTCAGCGTAAAGCGCAGCTATCCAAGCTATCATTCCCCTCCCCAGGCCGACTTTATGCAGTGTTGCCATCATAAAGCTCCAGGTCACCCGGTCAAATGCCTTTTCGGCGTCTGTTGAGAGCATTAGTAGTTCCGTCTTCTCTTTAAGCGCCAATGCCTGTATTGAGAACGCTCTGAGTGTGCAGTCTCTGGCTTCCCTGCCTGGTACAAAACCTGTTTGATCAGGGTGTATTAGGCGCGGCACGTACGCCTGCAACCTTGTAGCGATGACCTTGGTGAAGAGTTTCACATCCGCGTTAAGGAGAGAGATCGGTCCGTAGCTACTGCAGTTTTCGGGGTTCTTGCCTGGTTTGGGTATCACCGTGATTGTGGCTGCTAGAGTTTCTCGGTGGAATTTATCGCCCTGTTGGAGTCGGTTGAGGGCTGTTGTTAAGTGTGGAGTCAGAATGTCCCTGAACAACTTGTAGTACCCCACTGAGAGTCCATCTGGTCCCGGTGCTTTCCCCTTCTTCGCTGCCTTAATCGCCGCTTGTACCTCTTCTGTGGTTATTGGGACTTCCAGTAGGTCTGCTTCCTCCGGTGTTAGGGCGTCCGGCTGATATCTTTGTAGGTAGCGCGTTGTTGCTTCCTGCAGTTCGGCGCGTTGAGCATCGGATGTCGTTGATGAAATATTATACAGTTGTAGGTAATACTTACGGAATTCATTGGCTATTGCCTCCGGGAATTGTGTGAGAGAGCCATCGGTTGTTCGTAGCGCATGGACTTGCGTTCTGGCCTGTTGGGGTCGGATCATGCGGGCTAGGAGTCTCCCGCTTTTATTAGCGTGAATGTAAAAGAAGGCCTTGGATCGCTGTGTCGCTCTATGGTGTTTGCGGGCCACTAGATCCGCCAGCTGTCGGCGAGCGTCCAGTAGTGAGCGATAGTGCTCCTCAAGTTGCGACCGCTTATGTTGGGTTTCCAATTTCGATATCTGGTCAATGAGTTCCAACATGTGCCGCTGTGCTTCTCTCTTTTTGCGTGATGCAATCTTTATGAGATGTCCCCGGAGCACGCTCTTGTGTGCTTCCCAAAGCGTCACTTTCGATACGTCCTCTGTATCGTTCTCAGCAAAGTAGTTAGTTAGATGCTCTGTCAGAAGGGATTTCACTTCCGGGTCCAATAAGAGCGACTCATTCAGTCTCCATGCTGTCCTAGTAGGCCTAAATAGAGGAGAATCCAGCTGTGCGGACACTGCGCTGTGATCCGACCATGGTGTCGGAACAATGTCAGCCGACTGCAAGCGTTGTAGTCCTTCTTGTTGTATGAGAACATAGTCAATACGCGAGTATCTCCTATGTATGGCTGAGTAGTGCGTATAGTCTCGAACTGTCGGATGTAGGGTTCGCCAGGCATCTACCAATCTCAGGTCTTGCAGGGCCTTCCTTATTGCTCTGATCGCAGTTTGTGGTATACTGCTGTGTCCAGTCGATGAGTCAACTAGTGGGTCAAGCGGTGCGTTGAAGTCCCCCCCTACGACAAGTGAACCTTCAGTATACGTTGCCAATTGGCGTATCGTTTTGCTTAGAAACGGTGCCTGCTTTGCATTTGGTGCATAGATAGAGGCGAAGGTGTAAAGTTTTCCCGAAATTGTGCCTTTGATGAAAAGGAATCTACCGTTAGGATCTGCGAGTTGATCCATCAGAGTGAATTGGGTATTGGCTGCTACTAGGATCGCTACTCCTGCTCGTCGGTCGTTAGGGTGGGTGCTGTGGTAGTTGGTGGGGTATCGTCTGTCCTTCAATCTGTGGATATCTACTGTTTTGAGGTGCGTTTCCTGTAACATCGCTACCGAGACCCGTTTGCAGTGTAGTTCTCTCAGCAGATGTGAGCGCTTCTCAGGTGTGTTAAGGCCTCTGCAGTTTTGCGATAGCACATGAAGTGGTGCAGCCGTATAAGCCATAGAGCGAGTGTGGTCGTGTGCGCAGATCACTCAGCAGTCGTGTTCTGGTGTCTCCAATGGAGATACCCGCACGCGCCCCCGCGGTTGCGTGAAGTTTCTTCCTCTTTTTTTTTTGGGGAGGAGGGGGGGATAGAGTTTGCGGTTGCAGGAGAGTAAGAAGAGGGTTATGACACCCAAGAGTTAGGTCGCCCAGGGGGCAGGACACGGCTCAGCCCTCCCCCGATTCAGCCCGACCCGAGAGGCCACCGATGTGAGGTCACGGGATTGTGACCCCAGTAGGGGGAAATTGCCCTCAAGATGAGGGAGTCCCGTGTAGCTGGGTGGAGTCCAATGCCGCACCGTCTCCTAGTTGAACTAGGGCAGCCACGGGATTGGGTCTCCCAGTAGTAGTGTCTACACGGGTCTAGTCAGGGGTGGTGTAATCAGTTGGATCCAGTGTGTTCACCTGCTGAGAGGCAGGAGCACTGTGGCAAGGGTTAGTAGTATTGTGCATGGCGTACTCAGTGAGTCGTCCGTGTCCCACATGTATTCAGTCTGATGTCAGTAGCTAGGTCTCCTAGTCTAACAATCTGTACGGTCACGTTACGTCTTGGCTCGGGCCACTTTCCAATTATCTAGCGTGTCATGGTTCGGCTTTGTAAACAGTTCGGTCTTCCCCAGGGGGCTATTCCTTTAGTCTGTACGTTCCGCAAATTGTGTGTTTGACCTGTTGCTTGCGGTGGGTCGTGATAGGCAGAGTTGGGTGTGTGGGCAGGTAACATGGGATCCCTCGTCTCAAATAAAGGCTCTCGGTAAGTGTCCCTAGAGTCAGGGGGTCAGTGTTTAGCGGCTTGTCTGTTGGGGATATATCCCGTGGGCAGACGAGTGCCCAGCTGCAGTGTAGGTGTATGTATTCGTGGGCGTCTGTAGTGCAGTGTTGGGGAAGCATTTGTCTAGGCAGAGCACGCCTCCCATCTCCTCTGTCCGTCTTTGCCCTCACCTAGTCTGACTAAACTACCGTGCTACAGCTACTTGAGCAGAGTAAGTCTTAGGGCAACAAAGTCGGAGTCCCTGCCTGTCCCTTCCCTTACCCCATCACCCCCATAGCGTTTGAACATCCTTTTATCATAACCTATCTCCTGTCTGCAAAACCGACATACCAAACACAGCTCAGTAAAACATTTTGAACATAACAATTTCCCAGATATAGGCTCCTCCGGGGACCCTCTAGCTCCCTCCTGCCACCCCCCAGACAATATTCCAGATAGCCTTCATAAGTGCGTTGTGGTACGACAAGTGCACTCCATCAACCCCAGAGGATCTGCGGTGCATCATGAGTTCTAGTGTCCCAGAAACGTCCAACTGTCCCATGTAGCACCTCAATTTGTGTCTTACGGGCCCATATGTTCCAGGCCCTCCAAGGACCGCATTATACAAGGGCGTTGCACCTCGCCCATATCAGGCCCCCCACCCCAATCAACTTGGAGGAGCTCTCCACCCCAGGGAGGGAGGTGTATGCTGCTAAGGTGCTGCTATTCCCAGTCGTGGGTGTCCATGTAAGTGTCCCCTCTTATGTATGTGTGCAAGCAGTACTTATCTGTGCTCTGCGGTGCGTAGGGTGTCTCTGGGTTCCGCCAGGATCTGCAAGCTCGGGTATGGTGCACGTGTCGTGTTCTGTCCTCCTTGCCCGGTGGGAGGAAGGGGGGGATTTCTATCTTCACTCCTCCGGGTCCGTGGGCACCAATTGCCTGCGGGTCTGTGGGCGCCTTGGCGTGTTGTCTCTCCTTCTTCGCTGCTGGCCAGGAGTTTGGGGCCCTTGTCTCTGGTCCGTCGACCCCAGGATCCAGTCGGTGACCTCTGTGGGTGGAAGATTAAGGCGCTGTAGAAATCTGGGCACTTCTTCGGGCCATCTTAGTGGGAACCATTCATCGTGATGTCTGGCTAAAAGCATAAAGGGGAAAGTCCATTTATATGGGATCCCTCTGTCCCTGAGGAGCGTAGTGACGGGTCTCAGGGCCCTGCGGGCCTCTAGCGTAAGAGGAGACAGGTCTTGATACAGGGCCACCTCCGCATCACGGAATCGCCAGGTGGGTCTGGAACGGGCTTTGTTCATTATTTTCTCCTTTAGCTTGTAGGCGTGTAGGCAGCAGATAATGTCTCGCGGTGTGTTATCAGTTGCGCGAGCTCTGGCAGCCCTGTGTGCTCTGTCGAACACCATGGATTCCGGTGCCTCTGCCCCTAGGATATCTCGGAACAGCGTCTGTAACGTAGCTTCAACGTCTTCGTTCCCTTCAGGTTCAGGTAGGCCGCGGACCCTTATGTTTGATCTGCGGCCCCTGTTATCAAGATCCTCTGTTTGCCGCCTTAGCTGTAGAAGAATGTTGCCTTGCCTGTGTATTGCAGTATTAGTGGCTTCCAGCCTGTCTCCCATGGCCTGCACATTAGATTCAGCTACCTGCATCCTGGTAGCCTGGGCAGTGAGTTCAGCCCTGAGTGAGGTCACCTCCGTGCGGATCGCCGCATGCAGGGTATCAGAGAGGGCTCTCATGTCCTCCTTTGTTACCATTGCCGCTGCCAGTGCCCTGATATCTGCGCTGATATCAGCCAGCGACGGTTCAGCCTGCTCTGATGACAGTGAGCGTGTCGGGGAGTCGGCCATATTTGCGCCCGCCGCCTCGTGGTGTCCAGCCGTCGACGGAGCTAGGTACCCGTCCATGGGTCCCGTCTGTGAGCTGCTCGGGTGAGCCCTGGGTGTCTGTGAGCCGTCCGGGCGTTTTGTGCGCCCCATAATCGTGCCGTGCTGATGTGTGAGCTTGCTATTTTGGCTGTGTGGGTCGGAGCTCTTCCCCTAAGCAGCCATCTTCACTCGCGGCCAGACCACGCCCCCCTAACAGAAAGTGTTGTCACATGGTCAGATCTGCTCTAGCATGTAAATCAAGTGTAACTGTGCTGTCATTGTTATTTAAACCAGTCAACAGAATGAGTAGCCTTGATATGAAAGAGTGCTCTCGTGGAATAATGCGCATAGCAAAATTCAGCAAACCAAGGAGAGACTGTACGTAAACAAGTTCCATTGGAGGGATGATTCTACCTCTATCCTGATACGCTGAATCTTGTCTGTTGGGAGACAACATTGCTATGGAGTCCAGTCATATGCCTGAGAATAAGAAACTAGTGGTGGGCCATTTAATAGTGGCACTAGTATATAAAATAGAGCAATGGTTTTACTGATGCTCTGGGGAATGGTATTGGGTTCCCCTATGGACAATTACAGAGGTTCAGGAGGAGCCAACAGAGGGTTTCTTTGAAGTTGTCAAGTATTTTAGGACTGCTCTTAGCTCGTAAGACAGTTGGCAAAATAGTATTTTTTGATTGATGCCACACATATGCCACAGAGATGGAGGTATGGGAATCAACTTGAAGACATTGGAAATGTTGTTCCTTCCAGTCTTCAAGATTGCTTGTATAGCATTGTCTACTGTGGCATAATGCAGTGAAAATTTAAGCCAGGTATGGCAATGGAATGAGGAGCCAAGAGATCGATAATCATGTGGTTTTCATTGTTGTATTTTACTGTGGCAATGCCAACGGGGTTTGTACACCAACATGTAAATGGAGGGTGCTTAAAAGGCTCAAGCATGAAACCATTCAAAATTTCGGTTTGTTTGAGTGTATCTACTATGACTTGATCTTTTAAGGCAGATTGCAGATTATTACACTTGAGTGTACCTGTGGGCATTGTGATGAGACACGTATGAAAACCCTCCATGAATTCAGTGATTACAAAGAGTGAGTGGAGGGGTGAGTCATTGTTTTGGGAATAAGCAATTTGGGCGTATGGTTTTCGCGTGTGCTCTGAAGCAGATGGTGCAAGTACTGAAACTGTAGCTACCTGCATTTAGATGTTGCATATCTGTGCCTTACCAAGAAACACTATAGGTTGGCCCAATTTGTCTTTTAGTCCTTTGTGTTCTGGTCTGCTGGAACCTGGAGTAGCTTGACTTGTGGTTGTTAAACTAGGACACAAATTGGTAGAGTGGGAGTTGGAGGTGCAAATGCACAAGATGGTGGTTTGAGTCCAGCGAAATGGCATCAGAATAATTCCATATATAACTGACTACTAACGTATGCCAAGGCTGCAGTTTGTAGATAAAAATCCAGTTCTTCTCTATGGTTGGAGGGAAGTGGAACAGATGGCATCCCTAAATAGCCCGAAATGCTAATGCAAATTCTGGTATCGTCTGTTTCTTGTTTAGTCTGGGGTCTTTGGCTTTTAGGATTGCAGACATGTCTCTGTAACAGTATGCTTTGTTTTCTATGTGGCCTGAGGCAATAACAATGGTATTAAATTAATGTCTTTGCCTTACAGAATGTCTTTTCTAATAGTAGTGGGAACTAAATCCATTGTAATAATGTGTGTAGAGGTTATCTGTGTCGATAGAGTGTTGGTGTCATTACCCTGAGGGAAATGGCTTTATCTATGGAGGATTGCGAAGTGTTGCGTAGGTATTGCGGGATTCTCCATAGACCTCAATGCTGTATTCTCGCACATGTTCAAGAGTACAGCAGTGACGTTGCCTCCTGGCACTGAGACTCCACCTTTGCCTGCCCCCCACGGCCACCAAACTACCAGCAGCGATGTCACCGCTGGGGTCTTTGCAAATTCTGATGGTGAGAGTGCCGTTTTTAGTGACAAAAGTACAAATGTTATTATTCAAAGATTTAACCACATTGAGCAAAGTGTAAAGTTATATCTTTTATATTCCATTTAGACTGTATAAAATAAATAAAGTTTAGGGGTCCTATATAGTCAGAAAGTTGGAAAACCCTGAGTCAGGTAATTGGGCAAATAATTAAAAAGGAAGACTAAGCTTGGTTATTTTTGATGCGGGTAGTATTATAATCCTTCCTAAAAGCATATCTATCGTGAAATTCCTATAGAGTACTTTTAGTACAATGTTACAAAAACCCCAGTGTTCTACGGGGCTCTGCAAAACTATTTACAAGAGTAATTATGAGATATGTCAAATGTAGAATAAAGGCTCTAAAGACTGCATTGGTACTTGAAAGCATACTAATAATAACTGAGCAATACAGAAATAAGATTGTGGAGCACCTTTATAAGTATTCAACCTCAAAGAATGTTTGCAAATTTACAGCCTGGAATTAAATGCACTTTGAAAGTACAATTTTTATTTTTGTTTTTGCTGTGATACAGAAGTTAAACATTTGTTGATTGCACATGTATTTTCCCCTCCCCTGAGTCAGCACTTGATAGGGTCACCATTGACACTGCAAATACAGCTGTAAGTATTTACATGTCTTTATTCCCCTGGCTTGACAGTCACACCGGTGGTTCTAGTGCCTAGAGTGTCCCTTTATTATTGCTTGTACAAGTCAAGTCAAGGAGTTGTTTGTGGTGTCCATTCTGCACTTGCTCTGTCACAAATATTTTGGGGTATTAATTAAATAGTAAAAAAGAGTTTTCAAGTTCTAAATTTGCTATATTTTCGATGGTCCATTAAAGTGTCACTAACTCCTTATGATGGGATTGTGGTCTTGAATGTTGAGTGTCGGTAGAAATTGCTTTTGAAAATTATTAAAATTGTGGAACTATGATTGCTTCGATATTCCTAACTCCTCATTATCAGCCATTAACTTGTCAAAAAAATAGAACTTCACATTTTAAATTCGCTATGAGAGGTCTAATGTGTATAATATTACAACTTCATTTAACTTAATGTACATTGACACTTTTGCAAGGCTGGTTGCATTTTGAAAGATCTCTTGCATAGAAAATATTTTGAAAAATGCATTTATAGTTAATAAAATCCACCTGAGCTGGATAACCCCACCAACATCTT